TTTTTCTTATGTTTAGTCAGGTGTAAATAATTTTAGCACACTCACATCCACATCAATTATTTATCGAAAAAAGTGTGAAAATAATAATTTAGATTACTCAAAAATGATAGCATATTGTGTGTGTTGTACTTACATTACTTAGAAGTTATGCTATTGTTAACGGTTTATTTAAACAGACGGATGGACAAGAAACTGTTATTATAAAAAAAAAATGATAACATTCTTAAATAATAATATGTAAACATAACGTTGTTCATTAGGCGGTATGCGGGTGTGATTATATGGGTAGTGATTTAATAAAGGTGCCGTAACACCATCAGTAAGACGTTGCAATGTACTGAAATGCTATAAGGTGCAGAATTAACATTTAAGCAACAACGGTGTGAATAATTACAAACGCGGTTGTGTAATTTCAATGTGTTTATACTACGGTAAGCAAATCACAGCAATTGCAGAAGACATTTTTTAATAATTGGCAAAAAAACTTGGAAAATATTTTAAGCAACTTATGGTGACATACATATGTATAGTAAAGAAATGAATACTTAAACCCTTAACCGTAAGAATAATACACTCACTAATAATAAACTGACCTAACTTGATGTGAAAATGGCATACCTCGGCTGCATACTATAAACAGTAGTAATGCTTTTATATTTAACTGGACGTAAATTAGTTTGCGGAGGCTGAGCTAACAGAAATAATAATGTTGATTTAAACTCAATAAGTTTAAATTGAAACGCTGCAAGTAAATACTAGGAGATTGAAATATAGAAATATTATCTCAAGTACTACTACAACCGGCTGCTGTATTAAGTTGACGTTATCATTTTTATTAACTGTATAATAATATTGATTTTGTTTTTTATGTACTTCTGAAAATGGTCTCATAAAAAAACCGACTTTAGTCAAACGGTTAGGTAAATATAATCCTGTGTATTAATTATTTAATTAAAAATAATAATTAACCATTAAAATTACCAATTTATAATAAATGTGTTTTTTTTTTAAACCCGGCATCAGCTTAACTGCTTTCATAATGATTAATGAATAATGAATCGCACGTACCTATATAATATAATATCTCAGGAGCCAAAATTTTTCCAAGTATTATTAAGTCGTGACGTTATAGTCCGTGATTTGTTTTACAAAAAGTAGATTAACGGTCTATATTATAATAATATTTTAATCTCGCTGTTATAGGCTTTAGCAAAATAATTATATTATTATAAATCGCATAGGCTGTCTGTTTCTAAAAAATTCTAAGTTTCGTTTAAAATTACAGTCCAATTTTAAATGAGAACTTGATACATATAAACAACATTTAAATTGAGTATTTATTGATATTTCAGAAAATCACTAAATTAAATGTAATTTAAACTTATTGCAAAAGGCCCAAAAATCTTTTTTTATTCTAACTAAAGAAATCAAAATAAAATACAATGTTTCACCAGCGACAATATTATATTATAGATTTTAAAAAATTGTCTCATGCTGTAATAAAGTGTAAACAATAATGTTGTCAATAGAAAAAATACAAGTGTATAATAAAATACCCTACTTATAACTACCAAAACATACACAATGCATATTCTCCTAAACATATTATTTGTCTATAGTTGTCTATTATATGATTTTATTAAAAAGAGTTTGTTCACTAACAACTTTTAGGAGAGATTATATCATAACCTATTGGTTTGGCATATTGAGAAGGCTATTTGACTGACGTCTGATAATATTTGATTTTTATTCGTATTTAGATGTAATAATAGTAATTACAGTAAAAATCAATATTATCCTTCATCACGATCAATAATTATAATTTGCTAATGAAAACGACTTTGTAAGAAACTTAACCTCGTTCATAAAATAAGAATATCAAGAACATTTTTATCTCTGTGAAATAATATACTACGGACAAAAAAGTTGTACAATTTAGATATTTACTTAGCAATATATTATTAAAAATAAAAATGTCAGGAGGTTGCTATGGAACAATGAATATAAATTAAAAATTTGACAATAATTACTGTGAAAGTTTTCTGAAAGTATTTCTATTTTGAGAAAAACGCGTTTAAAGAATAGCCAATTTTCCAAGTTTTCGGCGCGCAAGTTATAAGCAAAAACTTGGTTTACTTCTTTTTTTTTTAAGTGCAATAACTTGGCAAATTTTGACTTTTTTTAAAAAATTTTTCTTTAAAATTTTTATTTTTTTATGTTTAAAAAATGATGCAAACAGAAATTGATTATCATACTTATTTTTTAAGTTGTAGTCAGTCTTGCCACTTTTTAATACAAAAGTTATTTATTCTTCGTTTGATCCATTATTAACTCATTCATATAAATTACTATTCACTATTTTCGACTTAAAATTGTTAAGAAAACAAGTAGTACCTATAGAACGAATATTTTACAAATCTTGTTTGTAGTTAATCATCAGTAAATTTTAGGTTTCCTAAATTAGTTGTGACTTGGGGGCGGGGCAAATCACCCCTCGGATCACCCTTAGATATTATTGTTAATTTTATGTTTAATTATTAATAATTTTTACTTGTAAAAAAATCCGAGTGTCTTTTTAACTTTTAAGGGAATTTTTATATGGCCCCTAAACGATTTACAATCCGGGGCCTTTTTCTAGGAGACAAGCCGACCCTGAGAGTGCACCTATAAAGGTACACTCCAGGTCCAGTCTGTGCCCTTACCATTTACCAGTTTGACTCGTTAAATAGCATTATCTTAAAACTGTCTTCTATGTTGATTCTATTCAACACATGACTAACCTAAACAAACTATTTTTTAATAGTTCAAATTATATATTATCTCATCGCAAAAATACAAATTATCGATAAATACATCCGAAAAAACACGAAACCATAAGGGTACGTAAAAAAATGTCCAAGAAAAAAAGGAAAAATTGCGATTTTTATTGGTTATTTTTAAAAATAGTAAATTTGGCAAAAGTTTTAGTCAAAATCAACTCATTCTACTTTCAAACGTATTGTTTAAAATGTATAGCTTAACGTTAAGTTCAGGTGACTAGAAAAATTGCCTATACAATGCGCCTTAATAAGTGCTAGTGTAGAGGTTGTCTAAACACTATCCGCTGTAGAAAACTCGAGACAAGTATATAAATATTAGTATAAATACCTACTATTATTATGCTTTGCCAATCGAATTTCAACGACACCGTCAATACAACAATAATGATAATAATAGGTTTATAGAGGTATTTTGAAGACAAACCTGCAGTGTCTATATTATTATCTACAGCAGTCACCTCCTCCTACGGTACTGCAGCTGCTCACCTGAGTGCACACTCGCGCCTACAAGTGTGAAAAGTCAATACAAACAAATAGAACCTCGTTCTACATATTATCAGGTACTCGTAATATGTTATACACACGTTTAATTAGCTTGTAAAAAGAAGTACAAGTCGCGAATAGTTTACAAAGTAATCGCCGGGGACCTAGATAGGTATTATTATGTTCGAGATGATTGTAATGCACACACGTCATGTCGAAGAGTGCCCGAGTACATAATTTTTTTTTTTTTGCACCATACAAACACACTTGTATAATATTATATTATTTTGTATTCGAGAAGAGTTACCGGAGACAATGCAAATGGGTCATGGTCTAGATAATCTAGATTATTGTGTACCGATGAATTCAAACGGCTCGGATTTGATCTCATCACCACACAATGCGGACCATTTTTATTTTAAAAAATACTCATAATGTTGAGCCGTATAGCATTTCCTACTAATTGACACCGCTGTCTTGGTAATTTATTGCACATGAAATCGTACAATATCACATAATATCATTCATCAATATTTATTATTGTAAATTCCCTGTCACATCGCTGTACCTAGGTAAATAATTATACTAATATATTTCAATAGTGTCATTTCCATTGGCCCAATTAGAGGGCAGGGCTAAGCTAAGCCCATATTATGTGGGTTTGGATACAATTCTAATGTGGGTTTTTTTTTTTGTCTGAATCGGACAACCGTTGTGTACATGTAAAAAACAAAAAGTTCAAAACCCATTTGTTTTGACCGAGATGTTCTCTCCGGAAGTTTATGGAAATACAAACAGACTTTATTCGTTCCGGATGAATTCTTCGAATTTGTTTTTTATGCCCCTAAAAAATATTGTCGACGAGGAAACACAAACTTTTTGTTTTTTCTACGTTAATCGATATTTAAAAATAAAAACAAATTGTGTGCCGACCAGAACGTAATCGTAAATTGTTTCAGTTTTCACAATGTGTATTTTCTAATCAAAAAGTTATAATAATACCTACCCATTTCTGCTTACAATAGACACTGTGAAATAATAATAATTTATAAATGTAGATTACTGTGGCTATTGTTATTATTTTTTTTTTTTTTTATACTTATTTTCAATCAAAGGAAGTGTTAAAAATTGTAATTTATTAGTAGAGTCATTCCATGTGAAATTACCTAATTTGAATAACTAACCACAATATATTTCTATGTACCACATATTATAATTTTTAAGCCGAGTCTGTTTTTTATGGACATTGTCACTGTACGGTAACCAGAAACCACCCATAGGTTCATCCCAACTGTCTAAAACATTGTTTAGTGTTGGATAAATCTATAATATACAATTTCATCTATTAACCTTGATAAGTATATGTACCTACCTCGTATATATTTTTAAAAAAAACTACCCACCGATTATTCCACTATTTCCCTTAAAAAAAATATTTACCTGAATAGGTATTATCGTTGTCAATAAAAAATTGTTTAAATTTTTAACACAAATTATGATAGTTTTAATTAATTGTAAAAGTGTTTTTATTTTAATAAATAAAATATTTGATTGGTACCGTCAATAATTATTATGCAAACTATTTATTCACAACAATGTTGAGTTATTCTTCCATGAATTAATCGTTGATACTACTTGTTATCATATTTTGTGGTTTTTTTTTTTATTAAAATATTTTCTTTATTTACAATCTATACAAAATATTATGTATAATCAGCAAGTCTGATGACAAAGATACAGTGACAATAATGTATGAATAGGAAGGCTCTCAGCAGTGCCACCTGACCAGAATAGTGGTTTTTGATGAGAAAGATTTGTTTTTAATGATAATAAATAATGGTTGAGTGTTGACAGTTGACTAGTCTATGGCTTTTTTTATTACCTCCTGAAAATATACTACTTCTTAGTTCTTACTTTTATTCGAACAATCCAACCGCGGTTATAATTATTTTACACTAGCTGTAAAAAAAAAATTTAGTAAGTACTCTTAATTTCTACGCTTGTAATATTTTACAGCAAACGGCTAAAAATGTATTTAATTTCAACATACATTATTATTACATAATAAAGTATACCTCTATTATATTTTGATGTTTAGTATATTAGTAACTACACAATAATTATTGTGGTTTTTATGACTGCTTTAGGTATTTTCGTACACGAGTCGGTTAAGACATTAATTAAACATAAAATATTTCTAGTCTCGCTACTACTTCCAAATTTACTAAACTTCATAATAATTTCTTTTACTTTTGGTACAATCGTTAAAATGTTCTGTTTTTTTTCTTCTTAAAATTTGTATACATTAGTTAGTTGATATGAACAAAATAATAGAAATAGCCCAAATACATTGCTTTAAACGTGTTTAAACTCTTTTAGATAATGTCTGTGAACAAAAATGTCAACGATAAGAACAAACAACGTGCTATTCAATTTAGTTTAAAATGTATATTCTGCAATGGAAATGGTGATAGCAATCTAAAAATGTTAGAATGTTTACACCTTATATGTGACAAATGCGTTGGAAAAGAAGTTGTGGCTAATCTACACAAATTAGGTAAAGGTAAAGTTTTCCGTAAGTTTTTCTTTTACTTTAATTTAAAAATACGCTACCCAACCAATATTGTGCATGACAATTTTTTATAGTTTCAATAATTTGTTTCCTATTAACTTTTAAGGTAAGTTTTTTAGTATTTTCTAATCATCATCATGCAAGCTTAACAGGCCATGAAGGTTTTCACCGGATGATTGTTCGCCCAGCAAACTTAGCGCCCGTGACTGAGTGTCGAACCTGCGACAGTGAACGCTAACACACTGCCACCTTACCCACTCGGACACTCCTAGTATTTTTTAATAAATAATTAAAAATTATTAGATTAAATATTTAAAAACTCAAGCACAGATAAAATTCTCCTTTATTCATTGTGAAAGTTTAGTGATTCCACAACAATTTCAAGACACTTTGGTTTTGATAGAAACCACTGTGATAGTCTAACAAACGACTGCATCCAATAATGAATCCTCATTACTGTATTAATAAGTATTATTATACACTATAGTTAAAGCTATCAATCAAGGCTTTGCACAGATAAATTAAGATTTGTTGAAAAAAAATTGCTTGCTCTTTACTTTTTAATAAATGGGCTGGGTAGCGTCACTTTAAAGTTAAAGATATAATTTGTTTATTGAAATATTTATTTTATAACATTGTAATATTAAGAGTATATAATTCTACCTCATAATTATTTTCATGTTTATTAATATTTTAGATTTGGAGTGTATATGTGAAGTGAAAACATTGAATGGATTAGTTGAATTGCCTTTTAAGTCGTTGAGCAGTTCAATAAAAAAAAATTATTGTAATATACATGATTGTAATAACGAAGCAAATTTTAATTGCACAACTTGTAAGGAACTGTTGTGTGCTTCATGTGCAACTGTAAGTGTGTTTTCTTACTATTTTTTTTATAATATTTAATATTATGTAAGAACACAATCAAGTATTATTGCATATGAATGTATATAATTAAATTACATCTCTTTAAAATGTCTAATACCCCTTTTGCCCTCTTGAAATTAAATTAAACAACCAAAGCTTGCAAGTGGGTGTTGTAATTATTATTTATATAGTATAACACTTGCTCATTCAATGATGAAAATATGTTGGTATGTTTTATAAGCCATAAAGAATAACCATATCAAATTCCGACTTGTAGTAATATTGTAAAAATAAAAAATTATTTTAATTAAAAATTATGTTCGATTCTAAGAAAAATGGTATGGGTTTCGCGTTCCGTCTTAACTCTTATTCAATGAGTTTTGAGGAATTCAAATAAAGTAAACAAAGTTTACCATAATAAAATGAAGATTTTTTTTTCTTTTAAATAAATATTATTGTAGTTATTAACATTTAAATGTATAAGCGAGATATAAATTATGATGGAGTAGTGTACACAGATAAATATAATATTAAGCTGTGCCTCTTTTACACTGCTTTCAAGCACATTAAGAGCTCTAAAAGTATTTTTACAAAACTTGTTATCGACCAGTCAACATTTTCAACAAAAAAAACCTATTCTTTAGTTTAGGATGGTTAATTAAAAAGTATAACTATCAATTATTGCTTTATTGTTTTGCAGCATCACATGAGTTCCCTCTCTAAAATTGTACACGGTCTAATATGCATTCCGGAGAATTCGTTATTTTGTACCAAACATTCAGGAGTGAGTATTTCTGTGTATAAAACAAAGAAAATAGTCTAGTTTAAAAAAGCAATTTAGTGTTTTACTATAAATGCCTATCGATATTGTTTAGGAACTTATCAATATGTACTGCGACAAGTGTTTTATGATGGCTTGTTCCCAGTGTCTATCGGTTGATCACAAAGAACATCCCAACAGGGATATCGAAGTTGTCAGTAAAGAAACTAAATTTGATTTGTCATCAATTTTGATTGATATAGAGTAAGACCAAGTTAATTAAAATCAATATTATTTATGGCATACAATTCTTATTTCTCAGTTTTTTTTCTTTTTTAATTACTTATAGTTCTTTAAGTTTAATTCGTGTGACATTTATCAAAAATAAAAGTGTAGCAAAAATGTTAGTGTAGAAAATATGCCAATCTAATTAACTTAAAAACTGGTATTAATATTTCTTTTACAGAATAGGTAACAGTAAATATCTTTATAATTTAATAAATAAAAATTGTTTTAGGAAGAATAATAAATACATGGAACACTGCTTAAAAATAAATACAGAAAACATTTGCAGTCTAAGTGCGCAAAAAAAAGGTGTTAAAAATAAAATAGACCTCGTAGTATCTGAGTAAGTTTCTAATTTAAATTTAACATTAATTGTACTTGTATTAATTTATTAAAAATGTTTCTTGTGTTTTTTAGAATAAAAGATTTAATAACGAAACGCGGAAATGTTCTAAAGAAACAAGTGGACGAAACTTATGAAGAAAGTCTTAAAGTAGCACAAAAACAAAAACAAAACATTTTAAATACAATAGAAAAAAATGTATACTACTCACATTTTACAAACAAGCTTTTGGATAACAATGAAAACATTGGGAATATCCTTAAACATCGAAAGTAAGTGATTTGTTATAAGAAAATGTTTATAAAAAGGGACTTTAAAGGTCAATTGATTTTAAGAAAATCAAGTTACAGGACATTGTAATTTTAGAATTTTCATGAATTGTTAAAAACTAAATAATATGGTACTTCATATATCGATATAATTATTCTGTATCTTGACTTTCTAAATGCCGACCTTGTAAAAATGGCATTTTTCAAAACTTGCTGTGCATTCTTAAAGTTATGTATTGATTTTTAATGTTTTCTATTTTATTTAGAATCATATTAACTCAATTAGAAAGAACTAAAAATTTATCTAATATAGAAGTTGGAAAACTCACGTCCAAAATAATATTTGACCATCAAAAAAGCTTCGAAAATGTTATATCAGGTTGGTTGTACAAAGTAAACCGTATAAATTACATTCGTAATGGTTGTTTTGTTACTTAAGTTAAAAATCATTGGTTTGCAAAATTGTTATCTACTTCAGATTTAGATGCTGGTGCAGCTTTAATTTATTTTAACAAATAATAATCATATAAATAATATAAAATGGTTTGTACTTAACTACTATGGTAATTTTATAGCAAAATATTTTAAAAACCAAACGGCAGTATACATTTCATTTTTTTAGTTAAAAAAATTTAATTTACTCACACCATAAGGTTTTACTGTTTACAGTAAAAATACTTATTATGTAATCGATAAAGGATGTAATTCTTACAGAGAACACAAAACGGCATATCTGTTTCTAAAACAATTAATCAAAAAAATATATTATCACCGATTAAAAAAAAAAAAAAAAAAATATAGTATTTCAACTTAAAGTATTAATTAAAATATTGAATATATTATGGAACGGGTACATTGTTCTCTTTTTGAATATTGTCTTGAGAACAATGGTTTTTTATTTTATTTTTTAATTTTAACTGCCATGAAGCAATTAAAATGTGTTCTACATAGTTAGGTATTGGTTAAAAAAAAAAAAAAAATCTTTTTCTATGGACGCTGTTAGTCTAACACAAAATTGAACTACCAAACAGACCTACTCAATGAAATTGTTAAAAGCTAATTTAATTAAAATATTATATTAAATTGTATTATTGTGTTAAATGTATATATGTATGTTTAGATATCAATAATTTTGGAACTATATCATTGACATCTCAAGCCAGTGATCGTGAACAGTCAACACAAGTAAGACATGAGCAAAACTGTATGTTTTTAAATGTTAAGTCTGGATTTAAATTATATCAACTAATTTTTAGACCAATTACATCAGACTGTTATTTACAATTCCTTAAAAATATTATTATTTTCCCTAAAGCTCTCCCTTCAAACACCAAGAATGTCACATCTAACATCATAGTCTTAACATGTTTTACATTGGTTTTCTTTTCTTTTGCCACCGCTCTTGTGAAGCTAACAAGATATATTTGTATTTTATTGTTGTTGTAATATATTATGTATATGTTTTCTTTAGAATTTGTCGAAAAAAGACTCGTCTACCGCCAATAATAACACTATCCAAAATAATTTAGCGGCGCCATCATCTTCTTGTCCAATGTTTCCTAAAAGTATGCTGTCATAATATCAGTTTAAATATTACATACTATTAAAATTTATATTAATGTTGCTAATTAAGTTAGAATTGATGTGGATTCTTTTTTTTTTTTTTCATGTCAGACGATGTAAGACAATTTTTTGATACTAGATTTCCTGAAATCGAATTCCAAAAAGTAATTTAACTGTCTTTTAAATAATAGTAATAAAAACCATAAACGTATATGTTACTAAAAATCTCAAAAGTAATAATTCTAATGAGATTTTTTTAGATAACAATAAAAAACAATCTGTTTTTAAAAAAATTTTACAACATTATTATTATTATGATTTAATATTTATAGTCCATTTTGATCAGTTACAGGTCAAAAGCGCTGATAATCATACAACGGATTACATGTCTGGTAATTATTCAAACATTGTTCAATAATTAATATCATTATAATAACACTAACTACTAATATTGTCTTAGAATTCCTTGGACTAATGTCGTAAAGAAACAGAAACGCAATAAGTACATATTTAAATAAATATTTTCTCGTTGTATCCAAATATTTGTTCAGCTATTTCTATAGAACGTTTTTAACGTAGTAATAGGTGTAAAACTTGGTTTTCTTTTTTTATGTATGATAATTGTTATTATGTTCGGCAAAAAGTTACGTCTGTATAATCACCGTGCATTTAATTATGTTGTGACAATAGTAATTGGTTTGCATTTACTAATATTGCAGATATTGATAGTTCTGATGACGAAGCCATAAAAGAATGCGCGGTATGTTGCCAAGGAATAATGGCCAGTGAAAAACTAGTAGAATGTTGTAAATGCCAAAGGATCTATCATCCTGACTGTCATGTGCCGAAGGCAACTGATGAAGATGTTGAAAAGTAAAATTTGAATTTACCGAAAATCCGTCGTAACGTAGGTTGTTAATTGTTATTATTATTTTATTTTAGCTCGGCTACGAAGAAATGGATTTGCAATTTGTGCATTGATTATACAGCTATGTTGTCTACTCCTAATCCTGAATTGAGATTATCAAACTTGAACAAAATCGTCAGATGGATTCTGCTGGAATTGTATTGTAAGAATGATGACAGTGTGCACTTTTTAGAATGTGCTCCTAAAGAAATTGTAAGTGTTGTGTTTTATTCAGTGATCCGTAACTATTATTATTGTTATTATTATTAGTGAATAAATATCATCAAAAATATTTATCAATGCTTTTTTTTTTTAGAGTGCCCAGTACTATGAAAAGATTAAAAACCCAATAGCATTGAACAATATCAAAGCCCGTATAGAAACAGATCAGCCAGTGCCAGTGCTGAATGACATCCTTAGAGATATAACTCGTGTATTTGAAAATGCCAAATCGTACTATCCCGTAAGCGTATTAGTTGTAAATTATCATTGTTCAGGTCCTAAATTAAAATACACTTTTAATAACACACTATTGCATCTAAAGCGTAATAACTTTATTTATATATATGTTTTTTTTCTTTCATAGGACGCTCATTGTGTTCATCAGTCGGCCACTGCTTTACTCGATCACTACGCAGGTTTAAAAAAAAAATATATAAGAAACATATGTTCAACAACCTCGTGAATCCCCGAACAAAAACATGAACAATCTATTTAGTGTTAAGTTATATTATCTATGTGTTTAAGCATTTAACATTTTTTTATACAAATTATATTTTTATTTATTACAAGCTGTACAATTTTCTGTAAATACATTTTGTAATCAATATTAAAAGAACGGTTTACATTATATTAAGAGTGCTACATTAAATAGTTAAATATATAATATTGCGTAATCTATTTGGCACAATCTAATGCAGTGCCAGGCAAAAGAACTCCGACATTGGAAAACCACAAGAAAATATATTATGTTGATTTTATTTAACACTATAGGCACATTATGTTGGAACTTGGATACTAGAGTGAAGAGAGCCTTTTAAAGTATTAAAATCGCCTAATATTCCAAGGTTATCAATTAAAAAAAATGTTTTTTAATTTACAGTTAACTGCATAGTTAATATTAAGGGTAAATTAAGAAGACCTATATTTGTTATGGATATTTTAAAATAAAAAAAGGGGACAAATAAGAATTATTGGGGATGGACTAGATAATAAATTACAAAATTACTTATTCAGTGATTATCATTTTTATTGGCAGATATGTTATGATACAGAAATGGACATATACAAATAAATAAATTGGTACCTACAAGGTGGATCCACATTGGGTACCTATAAACTATAATAGATATATTTGATAACAAAATGTGTTATTTGGATTATATGCTATTATGATATTAGACAAATCTGAAGGTCAAAACACAATGATAGACAAAGATAAACATTAAACAAATTAGTAAGCATATATTTTGTTTTCAGCATGACACGAATCTTGGATATTTCAACTTTGTCGGACCATCTAAAAACAATTAAATATTAAATATTATTGTAAAAAAAAATGATGGCTTATTTAAAATTAGTTTACCACATAAACGGTGTAGTTAAAATAAATTAGGATTATTGCTGGATGAGGAACGTGTGACGGATCTAAAGGAATTAGTATATTATCTGAAAGTGATTAAATCACTTTCAAAAAAAAAAACTGTTAGGTGCAAATCTGTGGATAGAATGAATCCAGCGGAGTACATACCTAAAGTACAGTATATTTAAACTATTCAGCCCAGTCTGAAACACCAAAAAAAAAACTCAAATACTTTTTTTCTCTATTTTATTTTTATTTTTCAATTACCTTATATAACGGTAGATATTATAATTTTGTTATTTTTTGCTCTGTGGAAACTAAATTGTATGCAGTACGTTATAAAGTATTATTTCAATAATAGTTATAGTTTAATGTTTAAATGTACAAAATAACCACTTTACTTTCGCCAACGACCATACCACGTTGAATACACCAGTTCTCGTCCGATCACTGAAGTTAAGCAACGTCGGGCGTAGTTAGTACTTAGTTATTTTTTGCTCCATGGAAACTAAATTGTATGCAGTACGTTATAAAGTATTATTTCAATAATAGTTATAGTTTAATGTTTAAATGTACAAAATAACCACTTTACTTTCGCCAACGACCATACCACGTTGAATACACCAGTTCTCGTCCGATCACTGAAGTTAAGCAACGTCGGGCGTAGTTAGTACTTGGATGGGTGACCGCTTGGGAACACTACGTGCCGTTGGCATACTTTTTTTGCATTTTTTTCACAAACACCAAAAAAAAAAAAACCCAAATACTTTTTTCCCGAATTTTATGCACCTGGCAGCACATCGACCACCGGACAAGGTTGGTAACTTATTCTAGGTTAAGTTGGTACGTGTAGTGACCTAGTCTGTAATTACAATTAGTAGACAACCGTTGCACAGTGGACTCCGGTCGTGGCGGCGGATCGAAGAGGTCATGTGAAGGCGATCAGCCGGCGTCCAAGCGAGTCAGGTAATCTCAAATAGCTGTCAATGAAAGATTTTACCTGAAAAAAAATTAGGAAAGTCTTGAAACTTGTCAGAAATTTTCTTTAAGATCTCCTAAACGATCAAAAAAAATTCGCCACCCCTCCAAAGACCGAAAGTGTCCGCCATTTTGTTTTTTTTCAATTATCATCAAAAATATTAATTTTACAACAAAAATACTTCTATTCAGCATTATCTCCAACAATTGAACTGTCGGGAAAATTAGTTTTTTGATTTTTCTGTTTTTCATCATAAAATTATAATTTTTGCATTAATTATTAGTCATAGGCATCCTTAGTTTTTCGAAAGATTTTTTTTGGTACTTTGGTTTATTATTTTTGCTTTTTTTAATTTTAAGGAGATACTGCATTATTTTCTAATATTATTGTGTATTAAAAACAAAATAAACTTAACAAAATGCAGTATCTCCATAAAGATATTTTTTAGTTTAATAATTTAGTAGAATGATAAACACATAATGGTTATAATTAGTACCAAGGTATCTGAAAAATCTCAATAAATGTTTTAGTACATATTGTCGTGTCTGACTAGTACCACAACCATTTCTAGATCAAATATAGTGTACATACTGCAAAGCCGTTTTAGCTAAGATTACTTGGTAAATATGCAGTATATGCATTGAGAAATTTGATTACTAATAAAATAAGCAGTATCTCCATTGTATATACTGCTTTATTCCCTAGGACATGCTACATAAATGTACATACTGTGTTTTCCCCTAGTATTTGACAATATTTTGGTCGATGCGACATTTTATAATGCCTTTTAAAGGCATTTCTGATGGAGATACAATAATGTTAAGCATTATAATGTACCTAGTTTGGGATGTTATGCTTGTGCGAGACAGGAAGTTATTGTTAATATTGTAAATCGAGTACATTAATAAACAGAATCTCGTCGATTAATCCAAATAAGATGTATGAAATATAGAACCCGTTCAAATATACACCTATACACCATTTCCCCATCCCCTCTCAAGTCTCAAGTATCCCATCTTATTTATGAACAGCAACGGCAGTGTCGACGATGTGATTTGTGATGTGTCAACCGAGTCGGCTGAACGTGTGCCAAGTGAAGATACCTATGCTGGGCTTATTGACGTGCAAAATATTAAACAGGAAGTAATCGACGACGAATATGAAAACGTGTACAACCAGTACTTGAGTCAATGGACTACCGAAATTACCTGTCCATTTATCAAGCAAGAAGTCATCGACCAAGAATACCATTTGAGTCAGCAGTGGGACGACCGGGTCCCTTCGGCCAGCTGGGAGGCGACCTATGCGGAATTAACCGATCAGAGAATTAATGAAGACTATTATAGTGACGATGACGACAAGTATATTCAGTACCTGCGCTGATAAACTACGTTTAAAAATAATCATTACACCCTAGCAAAATTACCACCCATCCAAAATACGTTGGTGACGTCACATAAACTACATTGTTGTTTATGTAATGTATTCTGTTTAATGTTTTTGTAATGTACCTAATGTGTTCTTGTATTCTTTGTTTTGTTATGCATTATTTCTTCTATCTTTTCATACAATATGTGTTGATGTGTATTCAGTATATTGTGTACCTAATACTGTGTTATAGAAAATATTTTTTTTGTAAATGAATTGTAAATCATTGTAAATTATTGTACCCGAATTAAATACTTGTAAGATTGTACGTTGTGTGTTGACTAGATTTGTTTTTACAATGATGGCTTTTATTTTTTTAGCAGCTCTCTAGTACAGAAATCGTAGATACCTGAAATGGTAACTATATTGGGAAAAAATAAATCAAAAAAAAATTTACCTATACATTTTTTAACATTATTTTTTAAAACGAGCACAATATCCCGGATACGTGATCTGGTTTGTGTTGTATAATGTTTTTTGTGTTATTTTTTGCTCCATGGAAACTAAATTGTATGCAGTACGTTATAAAGTATTATTTCAATAATAGTTATAGTTTAATGTTTAAATGTACAAAATAACCACTTTACTTTCGCCAACGACCATACCACGTTGAATACACCAGTTCTCGTCCGATCACTGAAGTTAAGCAACGTCGGGCGTAGTTAGTACTTGGATGGGTGACCGCTTGGGAACACTACGTGCCGTTGGCATACTTTTTTTGCATTTTTTTCACAAACACCAAAAAAAAAAAAACCCAAATACTTTTTTCTCTATATAGTTTTTATTTTTCAACCACCTTATATAACGGTAGGTATTATAATTTTCAATTGTCAATTCAAAACGTTTAGTTGTAATAATTTTTACATTTTACAATTTTTTGAATAATTTCACAACTAGAAGTTTGTTACATCATTAGGATGCACTAATAGTTTAAGTAGTACAATTTAATTAAAAACTTACTTCCATTAACACCTGAAACGTGAAAAGTAAATTTTAATTTTTTCAAATACAAAACTATTGTGGTATAGCTGTTTAAAAACTGTTGTATTTTTTTTTTTAATTCCTCAATTTTATTTTATCACATTACACCTTTATAAAAATTACTTTTTAAATTCAAATTTTGCCTGTAGATGCTGACAGCATAACGAAAAATATTGCTGTTAAAAAAAAAAGATGCCTTTGAAATTCATGTTTAAGATGTAAATGTAAAACAACACCAAGAAAGCTGAATACCGTACTACACCAACGATACTTTTGCTTACATTATAAATCCAAAAATTATTAAAAACAAATTCCCACTAAAATTCTTTAATATACAAGGTGTACAACTCGTTGCCCTTGAAAATTTCAAAACGTTAGTAAGGCAGTGTTGTACTGTGTTTGGTTTAGACTATACTGGTTTAAACTTTACTAATTTGGTTGTACAGGTTTAAACTGTACTTAAGTTAGACTGTACTTGGTGATCAAATCACTTTCAAATTAAATACCACGCTTGAACAACTTTACTAATTTATAATTTGGCTTGCTTTATACTGGACTAGTATTTTTGTTACTTTTGTACGTTTGCTGTAAATATCCATTTAAAAAGTACACAATATCTCTTGAGATTAGTTTTCTTGTATGGGATATTCTTTAAGTATAATACTAATTACAGCACTTTCAGTTATAAAACAAAATACAATTTTTGAAAAGTTAACCTAAATTTTTTTTTTTTACCATTAAAAATATTTCAGGTATATGAAGGTTTAACTATTTTGGGCATGATAGCATTCATATTATAAATGCAACGATCAACAAAGGTTAAGTAACACCACTAATGATCGACTGTGGTTTAGGTACATATTGAATCACACATCAAGTCATTTCA